GCCTCTGTCTTTTATCAGTTCATGCGTTTTATTATTTAGATCGTGTGTTGATCTTGTATTGTAATTTTGAATTCGAGTTTACATTATAGTTTAGAGTTCGGTTGTTAGGGAATGTGTCCTAGTCTTTAAACTAATAGCCCGGGCGCGTAGAGTATTTCGGGTGTCTTTTTTCTGAGTTCAGTGATGTACCTTTGGGAGAAATTAGATCGTGCACTAGTGTTGAACTCTTGTTCATATCGAGGGTTGACCCCAACATTTAAGTTCGGTGGTGTACCATTGGGGGAACTAGATCGAGCACTAGTGTTTAATTATAATTCATATCAAGGGTAGATCCTAAAATCTAAGTTCGATGGTGTACCTTTGGGGGAACAAGATCGTGCAAGGGTAGATCCTAACATCTAAATTCGGTGGTGTACCTTTAGGGGAACAAGATCGTGCACTAGTGTTTAGTTCTTGTTCAAATCAAGGGTTTAGGGTAACATCCAAGTTCGGTAGCATTGGGGGCAACTATATTGATATTGACCTGACCTCGATCTTAAGCTTTATGCATTGCCAAGCATTCTGGGATCTTTTAAGGTCGGGGGATAACTGTATCGTCATATGCATTATGACCCGACCTCGAGCTAAAGATTTATTCGTTTCACGCCATTCTGGGATCGACGAGGTCGGGCTAATACGCTCGACCTACATTAGCTTGAGGTCTTATGTGGTATTGGTAAACACCAATTTTAGTAAAGGTATTAGCTGCATGCGCGGGGCATGGCCTTATGCTAATTTAGTAAAGGTATTAGCTGCATGCGCGGGGCACGGCCTTACGCTAATTTAGTAAAAGGTTTTTGGCTGCATGCGCGGGGCATGGCCTTATGCCAATTTTAGTAAAGGTATTAGCTGCATGCGCGGGGCACGACCTTATGCTAATTTAGTAAAGGTATTAGCTGCATGCGCAGGGCACGGCCTTACGCTAATTTAGTAAAAGGTTTTTGGCTGCATGCGCGGGGCACAGCCTTATGCTAATTTAATAGGGGATCAATATCATAAAGAAAACTTCTTGTGTTATTTAAAAGGCTCAAGGGCGTTGCATACCCGAGCTTATTTGAACATGAGCTAACTGGGCATTAGAGCCCGAAAAGTAAAAACGAAATTAAGAAAACATGAAGCGGGCATGCAAGCCCTAAAGGAAAATTAATAGCTATAGCTAATCACTTGTAATATATTTTCAGATTGTTGGCGTTCCATGGCTTTGGGAGTGGATTCCCTGATGTATCTCTGAGGCTATAAGCTCCCCCTTTAAGTTTTCTTATGACCTCGTAGGGTCCTTCCCATGTTGGCCCAAGTTTCCTTGGTTGGTGCCCGGCGGCTTCTGCTTTCCTTAGGACAAGATCGCTGGCTCTAAATCTTCTGTTCTTGACCTTCTTGTTGAAGTGCTTCGCCGTTCTGTTTTGGTAACTTGCAATCCTAAGGGAAGCTTGCTCCCTTACCTCCTCAAGTAAGTCAAGATGTTCGGTAGTCTGTGTCTCCTTATTTGTCTCGAGCTTTCTTATTGTGGAGAGGCTAACCTCAATTGGAATGGTAGCCTCAAGTCCAAAAGGTAGCATGAATGGCATTTCACCAGTTGCTGTCTTGTGTGAAGTCCTATATGCCCACAGTATCAAAGGCAACATGTCAAGCCAATCACCTTTAACGTCCCCTATCCTTGTTCGGAGGTCCTGCAATATGATCCGATTAGTTACTTCGGCTAACCCATTACTTTGTGGGTGTGCGACCGAGGTCAGGCGATGATCAATCCCATTGCTGGCGCAGAAGTTCTTGAACTGGGGATTGTCAAATTGTCTTCCATTATCTGTGATGAGGACTTTTGGTATCCTGAATCTGCATATGATGGACTTCCATATAAATGATCTGAGCTTCGATTCTGAAATTGTTGCTATAGGTTCGGCTTCTACCCATTTTGTAAAATATTCCACTGCCACAGCTACAAATTTTAATTGTCCTCGGGCCAAGGGAAAAGGCCCAAGAATATCAACTCCCCATTGCTCGAAGGGAGCTAAGTAGTGAATGGATGTCAGTTCCTCAACATGAGTATGTATGATGTTGCCAAACCTTTGGCACTTGTCGCACTTCCGGACGTAATCTGTGGCATCTTTCTTTAGACTTGGCCAGTAATATCCATACCTTATCAACTTATGTGCTAGAGCTCGGGCTCCTTGGTGATTCCCACAAATGCCTTCGTGAATTTCAGTCATTGCCTGAAGGGACTCAGAGGGTCTGAGACACCTTAGATAAGGGAGTGTAAGGCTTCTGCGGAACAGGACTCCTTCGATTATGCAATATCTAGCAGCTCTATACCGAATACTTCGGGCGAGCCGAGGGTCTGCAGGAATGTTGCCATTACTTATGTAATCAACTATTGGATCCATCCAGGAGGGCTCATGGTCGATGTCCATGATACTTGGTTTCTGGGCTATACTTGGTTCTGCAACCATCTTGATGTGCACGGTTCTATCGAGCCCGTCAACACCCATGAAGACGAGTCTGGATAATGTATCAGCTTTGGCATTTTCGGCTCTGGTTACCTTCAGAATTTCACAACTTACGAACTGCCTTTGGAGGTCATGTACTTTCAAACAATATAAGCTCATTTTTTTCTCATTTCTTTCGAAAGACCCCTCGATTTACCCGACCACTAGCTCTGAGTCACTGAAAACTTTGACGTGCTCACACTCAAGATTTTTCGCGAGTTCTAGGGCAATAACAACGGCTTCGTACTCTGCTTCGTTATTGGTAGCCTGGAACTCAAACTTGAGAGCGCATTGTATCTCCGTAATCTTGTCCGGACTTGTGATAATAATGCCGGCCCCCGAGCCCGAGCTATTGGATGCTCCGTCAACAAATATTTCCCATACTCCTGAGGTCGAGTTCGGGCTCCCGGCCGGTGTTTCTGAGGATCTCAGAGTGACCTCTGCTATGAAGTCGGCCAAAGCTTGGGCCTTGATTGCAGGTCGTGGCTTGAATTCTATGTCAAATTCGTCGAGTTCAATTGCCCATTTCAGCAATCTTCCTAAGACGTCCGGCTTCTGAAGTATATGTCTGAGAGGTTGGTTAGTGAGCACAACAATTGGATGTGACTGGAAGTATAGCCGTAGTTTTCTTGCAGCCACTACTAAAGTAAGGGCGAGCTGTTCTGCAAGTGTGTATCGTGTTTCTGTATCAAGGAGAACTTTACTAACATAGTAGATAGGTTGTTGAACTCTCCCTTTTTCCTTTACCAAGACACCGCTTACTGCGTTCTGAGAAACAAGTATAATAGCAGCGTGTCACCGGGTTCAGGTTTAGTAAGGACTGGAGGTGTTGATAATGTCTGTTTAAGCTCCTGAAAGGCTAAGTTGCATTCCTCGTTCCAGTCGAACCCTTTATTTCCCCTAAGTAGTTTGAAAAAGGGGGAGCACCTGTCAGCTGCCCGGGAAACAAACCTATTTAGTGCTGCTATGCGACCTGTCAACTTCTGAATGTCCCTTTTGCATTTAGGGGCCTCCATATTTATCAGAGCTTGAATTTTATCGGGATTTGCCTCTATTCCTCTATGTGTGATCATAAAACCCAGGAATTTTCCAGATGCCACCCCAAATGCACATTTTGCCGGGTTGAGCTTCATGCTGTACCTCCGTAACGTAGCAAACACTTCCTCAAGATCAGAAACATGGCTACTCGACTGTTTGCTCTTGACCACCATATCATCTACATATGCTTCGACTGTTTTCCGAATTAGCTTGGCGAAGATTTTGTTCACTAACCTTTGATATGTTGCTCCAGCATTCTTCAAACCGAAGGGCATGACCCTGTAGTAGTAGATGGCTGAATCTGCCATGAACGAGGTCTTCTCTTGATCTTCTTCTGCCATAAGAATTTGGTGATACCCCGAGAAAGCATCCAAGAAGCTGTACAGCATATGACCTGACGTGCTATCTACGAGATTATCAATTCTGGGCAGAGGATAACTGTCTTTGGGGCATGCTTTATTCAGATCTGTGAAGTCAATGCAAACTCGCCACTTTCCATTATCTTTCTTGACAAGAATCACATTGGAAAGCCATTCAGGGTATTGCTCGAACGAACTGAGCATTAAGGAGTTTGGTAATCTCCTCTTTTATGACTTCTCGTCTTTCTAGTGCAAACTGCCTCTTCCTTTGCTTCACAGGTCTTGCTTCCGGGTTCACGTTAAGTCTATGTACTGCAACCTCTGGGTCAATTCCAGGCATGTCCTCAACATTCCAAGCGAACACATCAATGTTCCGAGAGAGACAGCTTAAAAGTTCAGCCATGATCTCTGCATCTAACCCTCGACCAACTGTCACTTTTCTTCCGGGCTCGATCTCGACCTCCTCCAATCCTTCTACCGGAGCCAACCTTCCGTAATTTTCATGCTCGAGCTCGAGCTCTGTGACTTGCATGACGTCATTTTTGATTTTTTGAACGCTGGTCACATAACACTGTCGGGCCACCATTTGGTTGCCTCGGACTACCCCGATGCCATTAGGAGTAGGGAATTTCATAGCCAGGTGAAAAGTTGAGACAATAGCTCGAATTCTGTTGAGCATTGGTCTTCCCAATATGGCGTTGTAAGCCATCGGCGTACGGACAACTTCAAAGGTAGTGATCTGAGTTACCTGCTTACCTTCGGTTCCCAATGTTAAGGGTAACCCAACGATACCTTCCGGGGTGATGACCCTACCTCCAAACCCTTGCAAGGGTGTTTTCACTGGCTTTAGCTGTTCTGACGAGATCCCCATTTGAACAAAAGCTTCATGAGACAGTACGTTTGCTGCACTTCCGTTATCTACCAGAATTCTCTTGACTTCAAAGTTGGCAATGATGGCCGATATGACAAGGGCATCATCATGGGGGAATGCTATGCCTTCCAAGTCATCCATCCCAAAATTGATGTCCTCTGTACGACCAAGATCTGGCCTTGAGATGATCGGTGGCTGTCTGGCATACTGTTTTCACCCACTGCTAGAGTCTCCTCCCGAGGCTGTTCCTCCGACAATGATATTGATAGTGCCTGCAGTTGGTAGCTTGTTTCCCCGATCCTCTGGGCATTTTTCCCCATTCTGGTTATTCCTCGGGCATTTGTCATTGTTAATGTAAGAGCTCAGAAATCCTCTTCTTATAAGAGCTTCGATTTCCCGCTTTAAGGCCAGACAATCTTCTGTGGTATGGCCGTGATCTCTATGGAAATCACAGTATTTGCTCTTGTCACGAGTATCGGGGGGAGACCACAATCGGGGAGGCCATTTCAGTTCCCTAGAGTCCTTGATTTCCATTAGGATGTTGGACATTGAAGTATTCAGGTGGGTAAAAGCCGTTGAAGGTGGATCCTTTCTTGGTTTGACCCTAGGTGTCTCTTGTCTTAAGCTGGACTCATATGGCCTTTTCTGATCCAACCTCCCTGATGAGGTAACTTCCCTTTTTGGGGCCATGGTTTCTTCCATATTGATGTATTTCTCAGCCCGTGTGAGTAGCTCAATTACTGACTTCGGCGGGGTTTTAGACAAGGACATTTTGAACGCTTCGTACTTAATGACGTAAGTCAGAGCTGAGATTGCAGCTGTGATATGTAGATCGGGGATCTGAAGCCTTTCTTTGTTGAACCTGGTCATGAAACTGTGCAGTGTTTCGTTGGGTCCTCGACGCATCTGCATGAGCGATGCAGCTGTCTTTCTGATTCTTTTGCTGCTCGCAAAGAAAGTGGAGAACTTGTCAGCCAAATCTGAAAAGGAAGTGATGGAGTTCGGTTCTAATGTGGAAAACCAATCTCTAGCCGCATTCGTGAGGGTTTGAGGGAATGCCTTGCACATTACCGCATCTGGTGCAACCTGTAAGTTCATGATATCCGTGTATACATTGAGATGGTTGATGGGGTCGGTTGTCCCGTCGTACTCCTTTATCCGAGGATACTTGAACCTATCGGAAAGGGGGTACGAGAGGACTTCTGGAGTGAATGGTGTATTGGGGGTGAATCCTGTTGCTGCCCGAGTATTTTGTTGCATACCCGCTGCTATCCCTTCTTGAATAATTCTTGCAAGTTCGGTGGAGTCTATTGTAACGGACCTTGAACCTGATGCAACTTGTGGTACCCCTGAGGTTCCAACCCCACCGTCATCATGGGTTGCATGATGAACTCGAGTTCGAGCATCTGCCATAAAGCCACCTTCAGGTGTTGGGGTGTGAGATGGATGCAAATTTCTCTGACTTAGCAGTTGGGTCAATGCAACAACCTGCTGATGGAGTTTCTCAAAATCTCCGGCGGAAACAACAGCTTGAGGAGGTGCTGGCATCTCCGACGACTCTTCTTGAGGAATATGGTGTCCCTCAGGAGGTGGAGGGTTATCCGGGACGGATGAGCTTGCCGGAGGAAGACTTGAACGTGTATTGACCATGGATTTCGGTAACGAAGTTCCCACAGACGGCGCCAATGATGCTACCAAAAAATATCACCTGAAAATCTCGAGCTTGATGACTGGGATGGAACACGAACAGCGCCTTCTAGTACCTGAAACAAAGGCAACGAGGTGTGTGCTCGTCGCCCCTCCGATGCTTAAGTCAGATAGGGAATTTTATACGTGAGGCTATAAACTGAGGATAATAATGAAGAACGTACCTTTGGAATGAGCACAGGTTGTGTATTTATAGGTGTTAGTGGTTGAGTTCTAGGAGGACTGATTCTGCCACAATCTTTCTCCTCGTAGGAAAAGGAGTTGGTGTTTCACCTCATGTATTCAAATCACTATTTGAGTCAAAGAAGGAGTCTAAGAAGGTAGGGATTGTATTCAAGGTAGGATTAGTGCTTCCATAGGTCTCATATGGAAGTTGTCGAGTCAGCACACATACCCCGACCTCAAACACCCGAGCTGGTTTTGGTGTTTTTAGACGATGATAAGGTCGGGGTTGTAGGCTGTGGTCGGGCTCAAGTGGTCGGGGTTAGATACTGACGATATCTGGAATAATCATTACCAAACATGAAATAAGTATATTTTTAGCACACCAAGGTAAATGATACTCAAGGCCTATGCTCTAGCCTTCTAAGATTAAGCCATGAAATATTATTATGTTTATCATCTAGGTATATTTTCTTTATTAAATTTATAGCCTCACACATATATAATTTTCTGCATTTGTTGTATGAAAAAGATATATCTCATAGCTTTATTTTTATTTTTCCAGTACCATAAATTTACATTCCTCTGAGTTTTAATAAAAAAGTAGGATTAATAATAAATTTGAAACAAAATAATTCTTAAACAATTGGGGGCAAAATATGGGCTATATTGCTCCTAGTTTTAATAAATATAATACTGCGAAAATGTTTATTTAGTACTTAGTGGTACCGGACAAAACTCATTCGGACAATATTATTCAATTATATTCCGTTTATAATCTATCTTAACGAAAGGCCTACAAGAGTATGCATGTAATATTGGACAAAGTTGGACATGGACACCAAAAATAAAGTGCATTTTAATTTCATTTTTTATGTGTATTGTTCAATAGTGTTTTTGTTACCAAACATAAAATAAGTACATTTTTAGCAGATACTCGACGCCTATTCTCCAGCCTAATCTAGCATAGGACATAGAGGCTGGACCTCTATAACTACCCAATCTTGGTGTCTCACCAAAGGAAATAATACACTTTTATTAGGAATCTTGCATTCAAGTACCCTTGGATTCTCAAGACTACTGAGATTTAGGCCTAGCTCATCACACCATACATGGTCCCAATGAAATACAATTATTATGTTTAGAAAAATGATAAACAGGATTTAAAAATTGGGAATAAAAAATAGACTGATATGACAGCAAGTTATTGGATTAATTTTTTTTTTCAAACTCTCCAATCAGACATCGACGCGTGTGCAACATGTTTTTCAGCATGTTTCTGTAGTATTACTCTTATATTTATCATTTAGGTATATTTTCGTTAATAAATTTATAGCCTCACGCATATATGTTCTCTGCATTTATTGGATGAAAAAGATATATCTCATCTCCTTATCTTTCAAGTACCATGAATTTACATTTGAGATCTTGCTCGTATTATTTTTCAAGCTATAGCTCGCATATATCTGAAGTGCAATTTTGAAAATCTTCAAACAAATACAAAATAACTAGTTTTTAGGTATGGTCAAGCACGCTAGTATGCTTCTCTACCAATCACGCCCGGACACCAAAATAATAATAATAATAAAGGTTGAACCCCAACTTTGAGAGCTCCCACCGTCCTGCCCCTAGAGTTTTGTGATGGAAGTAAATCGCGGGATGTGCCCTATCAGGTTAGGGAAGAAGAGTTGCTTGTACACTGCACCTACAAGAAGTCCAATTCTATGTCTCAGGAATCGAATTCTCATACTGCGATTATTAGCAAGGCGTGAGATAACTTCACTCCTGTTCTTTGTACCACAACCATTATTTTTCAAAAAGAGTTTTGAATATTGATTTTTAGGAAAATGTGCGGATAAAATATAGAAAAAAAATTTGATATACGTGTAGAATATTTCATTGTGTAATTTTATGTTAAAAAATGATCATGTAGCAAATTATAAACTAAATTAATAGTTACCAAACAGGCACTAAATTATCTTAATTCCTTGAAATGTAAAAGTAAGCGATCATTTGACATAACTTATTTAAAAATTATTTTTTCTTAAACTTATTTTTAATCATAATTTTTAATAAAATAATTTTATGCATAAACTTATAATTTTTTATTTTTTATTTTTTATTTTTAACTTTCTAATCACGTACTTTCCGAAGAGAGATGCTAGCTAGAGTCCAAAAACTAAGACCGACAGTAGCGAGTATGGACCCAACGGGCACGTCCTCTCCAGTCAAACTCCAGAGTCAGTCAAAGCAGCTCTGTGCGCACATGGCCCACTCACTGCAGTAGAAAAAGCGAGAAAAGGTTCGCTGACATGGCACGACAGGCCCTCACATCCACAAAACAAAAGGTTCCATCAAGGACAAAATTGTCTTTTCAAACCTACTTGAATAAGTCTTAATAAATATTAATTACTGGATTATGGTGTAAGCCAAATGATTAAGGCACTTGCACTGTCCACAAAATCTTCTTTCTCAGAGGAAAACAGATTCACGTACTGGGCGGGAGGGGAGGAGACGAGACGAGACTTTAATCTTCACGTGGTTTACCTTTTGATGATCTTTTAAGCTTCTCTTTTTATAATTTTTATGTACTTTCTCGAGTTTTGTTACACAGTGTAAAGGTATTTGGTGAGAAATTTTGAAATTATATGCAAAATTTAACTATCTGTTTTTTCAAAAGAATAAGTTGGACACCTTGATGTAAAAAATTGGGTCACACCCCATGTGAGTGTGGATCCCACCTTGATGTACAAAAAATTATATACACCAAGCAAAACTCTTTTCAAAATGTCTGTTGGAATAAAAGTTTGAAAAAGAGGAAAGTAGATCTAAATAAAAACGATTCATCCAAATATTGATACTCAAATTTAAATGAATGTTCCATGAATAATTAAGCCTTCGTTTGGAAAGAAATTTATAAATTTTAGGAGGAGGACGGTCGTCCATTCTTAAAATTAGCGTTCTTAAACACAAATAATCAGACAAAAAGGGGGGAAGCCTCTCCGTTCTTGATTGTCCTATAACTGGAACCTTCGAAGCCATGTTATCCCATTTTTCATTTAGAGTATGTTTGATTAGCATGGAAAATATTACCTAGAAAAGAAAATATTTTTCATCTTTTGTGGAAAATAAAAACCACCTCTATCCAAGGAAAATATTTTCCTTAAAAACAAGGAAAATTAGACATATTTTCAAAAGTTGAAAAATGTTTTCCATGAAAAAAATAGCAATCAAACACTGAAAGTAGAAATTTGAATGAAAAATTGATATTTTTCATGAAAAATAACTGTAATCAAACACACCCTTAGTTTATTCGGCAACAATAGTTACAATATGAGTTCCAATAAGTTGGAACAAAAAAGAGTGGCCCAGCTAGTACCGATCAAGTCAGGCCATCATGATAAGAGAGCCTTTTGAACATTTATTTTAAAGTCACATCAAAGAAATAAAATAGTAAACCCTAAAATAGTGATACTGGATCTTTTATAACGATCTCATCTTTATCAAATTTCATCATCTTCGCCTTCCAAAAAATTGCAAGGAACTTAGAACTTAACTCTCTCTCTCTCTCTTTCTTTTTCTTTTTAACTTCCTTCCCTGTCAAAGTCAAAGTCAAATGTTATTTGTAATTGCGCATTCATAAATGCATGCATTATTATCCATGCTTTTTTGGATTAATTATTACTCATTTTTAAAGATTATTTATAAATTTGCCAAATGGAAGCTAACTTGGTACAAGAATTTTTCTGACTCAAGCAATTTTATTGATCACGAATAATGCTACTTGTACATAAAAATTTACATAAAAGTTTACATACAGATGTCGAACAAAGTGGAAGAGTTTTTTTCCTTACTTGGTTAATGAAATTCTGGCCACATCATATGTATATAAATCATTATGTATATATAGTACAATCGGTTGGCCACTCTCCCTCCCTCTAAATATTTTATTGAGAATGTGTCACATGTTGTGTCAGCTTGAATTGGACCTACATTTCGAGTTGAGATAGATTTTTTTTTTGATACCCAGGTATCCCAATTTCGCCAGACTAAATCCTGTACCTCTAGCCACCGGCCCCTCAGTGACTCGAGTAGGTAAATCGCAGGTTATGCCCTTATTGGCTCCCAAGTTCCCACTTGGTTTATACTCCTGACCTCAAGAGAATCCTCCTCACTGCGTTGATCAGGAATCGAACTCTTCACGCTGAGATTGCAAGCCCGCCATAGTGATTGTTCCACCAACTCGAATGTGCTCTGGGGGCCTTTGAGATAGATTTTAATGGTATTTGACATGGCTTAGAAATTCAAAGTAGACGTATTACTCTTTATGGGTTAGCATTTTTTTACGTAAATTATCACTTATTTCAAAAAAAGGGTGATATCCTTTTAGGCCATTTGACAGCAATAATTTCCGCAAATACTAATAAGTACGGTTATCTAAAAAGTAAGTTTACTTATAATTGTTTAAGTTAAAGCCAATAAGACAGAGCATTCAACATAAAACTGAGCACATCTAATTTTTTTTTTCTCCTTTACCCCTGTTTAATCATCAAAGTATTTGATCAAAGATTCAGAATCCGATGAAAATAAAATGAAAGTTAGTCGATAGTATAATTAAAGATCTCGTTTCTTATTGTCTGGCCATGGCTAATGAGCAGAGGGAGTACAGGAAAGGGAACTGGACGGTTGCAGAAACTATGGTTCTTATAGAAGCAAAGAAAATGGATGACGAGAGACGATTAATGATTAGGCATGGCGGCGAAAGCAGTAGTTCTGGCAAA